CACTGTAGCAATAGCTCGGCTGCCATTTCTATTTAAGATAATGGGCCTAACTCCTTCAACATGGAGGTGTTGTGGTCTGAAACTAGCCCAAAACAGACCTGGGGAGGAAGCAAACAGCTCTCAGCAGGGCGCTTACATTGCATATCCAGTGATTGGTGCTCTTTGCCTATCCAGTGATTCTCCTTAGAAAGGGCTCAGGTAGCAGGCAAGTAAGGGCATCCAACAGCAGATAGCCTTTCTGCCAGGATCTTTAGAGTGGTTCTCTGAGATGAGCACAAACTGTCTTCCGTGGGACATTGGCTGAGGTCATGTGATGGTACAATCAAAGGCCACAACCAGATTATCAAAATTTGGTATGAAGCAAAGGACTACTATGATGAACAAAGATACGATTTTCTCCATGAGGTTTACTGGAAACAGGGCTCTTGTTAATGCCGTGGAGAAATTGTACACTGTGCCTTGACCACCTTTCCTTAGCAGGGGCTGAAAGTTTCTGGTCTTGCATTTGCTTGCCACAGAAATGCATGCCATACATAGCTACCTTTCGTCATTCACATTCTTTCTTTCTAAAGTTAGCTTTTCAAAAAGAGCTTATGAATAAACATCTGCTCTCCTAACCTGGAAAAAGCAGAAATGATTTAATTTTGAGAAGACATTTTTTAGAGAGCTCTCTGAAAAAACTTGTGTCAGAGAACTAACCTGCACTTGAGCTGTGACTTTTTGACTAAATTAATCTCCTATTATCAATCACAAATATTTTGGTAAAGGCTTTGCTCTGAGTTTAAATAAGTCTATTTATTCATGTATCATATCAGTAAATATTTTTTAGGTCCTTCTATGTACCAAGGAATATTCTAGAAACCTGGTGTACAAGGAAAACATGAAGGACAATTTCTAACCTCAGTGGGACCTCAGTCTAAAGCAATGGAGCACAGAAACATTTACAAAGCAGAACAGACCCTTCCAGTAGCAAAAGAGACTTGAAGTAAATATTACCCAGTTTTGAGGTTTGGTAAATACCCTTGAAGAGAATAACAGTCTCTGTAACTCTGCTAAACATAAAAAGTGCTTATAAAAGTATTTCAAAGAGAATAGTTTACAACCATTCAAGGATACTCACTAAGGGAAATAGGATATCATACGTTTCTATTTCTTTCTTTTGCCACCTGGGATACAACAAAAGTCATAATGTCCAGCCACTGAATCTCCAGGCTAGGGGACTCTATAGGCCAGACTAACAACTTAGTTGACAATTCTGGGCACTTATTGCTTTGAGGACCCAAGCTATATTAATATTCCTGATAGGCTTCAACATGTAATGACATTGTTCAGGATACCACAGGTAAAAACCTAGTGACCACTTTCCATTTCTGTCCTTGTCTTGAGAAGGTAATATTTCATAGGATTTCTACTCATCTAAAATGCATCCATGATACCGAGGCTCGTGAACACCTATACTTACTCTGTAGGATTTATTTCTACACTGATGGGTGACAGTCAGTCAATTTACTTTCATCATTCACTTTGATTCCTTGTTAGAAGAAGGTGGTAGTATGAACATTAAAATTTTTATTTTGGCTTTTCTTGGGTCATCAATTTTAACTGGCCAACTTAGAATATTTCCTTTTCTGCCAAGTTATCAATGGGTGCAAAATATATTATCTCATAGTTTGGCAACAAAATAGGGTAACTTAGCAAGATTTTAAGAATGTATTACATCTATGATCAGCTACTGATTCTTGGGACTAAACACCCAGAAATTCAAGACTTACCCTAGTCCTCTTTATTTAAACTCTGTCATGACCTCTGACAACTTATAACTGGTTTATACCCGTGATCTCCTTTCCACCCCCGGGGGTAAAACCACCTCTTTCCACATGGCTATAAGAAAATCAAATCAACCCAAACTACACACCTCACCCCTGTTTTAACAGCTCTGCATTGCTTCCCAGTTGCCTACAGAATAAAAGCCATGACACCTACTTTTGCTGACACTATACCCCAGTGGCTACCTCAATGTCTGGCACATGGATATGGCTCAATGGGAATTTGCTGAATGTGTCTGGAGTCTGCTCTTCTGTGCCAGCCTCTGGCTTACCTCTCTAGCTGCATTTGCTCCTTCCTTATACCATATTCATCTGTTAATTGTTCCCCCAACTCATCTTTTTACAGCACTGGGGACTGAACTCAAGGCCTTGCACACACTAGGTGCGTGCTCTACCACTGAGCTGCATCCCCAGCCCTGTTTAAATTTTGAGATAGGGTCTGACTAAGTAGCCCAGGCAGGCTTAGTCCTGGCTTTGCAATTCTCCTGTCTTAGCCTCCCCAGTAGCTGGCGTTACAGACATGCCCCACTATGCCTGGCTCGCCCAACTCATCTTCTTCTCTTTCGCCTTCACATTTTCAAGTTGACTGTTCTTTTGGTCTTAGAACACTGCACCTACTCAGGATCACATCCTACCGCTTCTCACCAAATCAATCTGGAAAAGGCTACTTCAAAATGTGATATATGTAAAACGTTGTTTTATTCAGCCATAAAGAAGGACAAAATTATGTCATTTGCAGAAAAATGGGTGAGAGAGAACATTAAGTGCTATAACACACAAACTTATAAAATGTCAAGCAATATTTTTCCTCCTTATAAGTGGAAGCTAGAAAGGACAAACAAAACCAAAAGTGGGTGGGGGGCATCTCAGGAAAATCAAAGGTTGATCAGTAGAGAAAACGGACCAGGGAGAGGGGGAGGGAAGGGAAGGGGAAAATACTGGGGAATGATATGGCCAACATCATGTGTAATAACGGATCCCACCATTATGTACGACTATAATGCAACAATAAAGAAATGGCTATTTCATCTCTTACATGAGAATATTGCTGTAGCCCTCTTTCTACAGTGTCTCTGGCTTCTAATCATCCCTCCAAATCCTTATTTTTCTTCAGCAGGAAGGAAGCTCAAGGTTGCGCTGGGACTAGAACTTATCTGGCTTCAGGCTTAGGGGGCTCAAGACTTATAAGGGTTTGGGTCAGCAGATACCTGGCTTTGGACTTGGACTGGGCTTTCATGTGTGACCCTATATGATTTCATTCTCAGTCATAGGTAGAATAGGTGTCTGGAGGGAAGCCTGGGAATCTAAAGGCTGATTATCTATATATAAGTCAATAAAGTTGAAATAAAGGTTTTCCACTCATAAATTAAAAGCCACCTGTATTTTACAATTAGTTCCACTTTTCCTCTTTCTTTAAAAATGAATTCTTGGCCCAAACTTAATTTACCTCGACCTGAAACCCATGCTATCCTGTCTTCCTTACACGAATCACTAGGGTTTTAGCACACCTTAGCTGGTGGCTCCCTGGTGCCCTACACCTGTGCCCCCTAACAGCATGCTCAAACAAGGAAGGAGGATGTGATGAGGTTCAAGAAGATAATTTGTAAGGTACACAGGTTGAGAGCCTTTTAGACTCACTCCCCATTCCCTATCGACAGGCAGAGAATATAGTAACTTTGAAAAATGATTATAAGGCAAGATAAACGGGTTGAGAATAAAAGGTGGATCATGGTTCATGTGCACATCATCAAATGTAATGCAGTTCCCCCACTAATTTTAAATACCACTGAAGTGAGAGGACTCTTTCTAAATATTTTATCACTGAGACGCCATAAGATTTCTTACTCAAGTATTACCCCAGTTTCTATTTAATGACTGATCAAATGTACTAGTTGAAAAGACTGAGATCTTGTCATAAAACTGAATAATATGGGAGATGACAGCAAGCAGACTCGTGCTATCTCCTGACTGTCTAAAAACTGCTCTGGGGTGACAGACGCAAACTTCCTTGACTGGAATGTTCCTCTTTATTGTGGTTAATAAAGAAACCACACAGGGTCCAGCCTTGGCATTATAAACCTTTGAATATGACATCTATAAAATTCTGTTGTCTTTTTAAATTTTCAATAACATTTCTATACACTATATTTATCGCACTTTCCCAAATGTGAAAATGCTCTTTGTATTTTAAGTGCCGACTACATGTGAAAAATTAACTCTGGTTCCATTACTTCCAACTCTTCCTTTATTAGCAACAGTTGTGCGATGCTGTCAAGAGGCATTTTAAGACTAAAGTGCCCAATTTGGAGAGCAGACACATCTGTTTTACCTCGCAGTGTGTTTTATTGTTTTATTTCTTGGGATATGAATTCACAACTATCTTATAACTGAAGACTAAAGAAAAAACACATGTTGGTAAATCTGATTTCAGCATTTTTTTTTCTTTTTATTCGAGGGAAGTTGCCTCCCTCAGCCGTCTGTCAGGGAAGAATAAATGGATTTGGCAAAAAGTTTATTTAAGTTGGCTTTATTAAGCCAACAAAATACAGAAATCAAGTAAGGGACAGGCAGAAAAATCTGTTCCTTTGAAGTCAATAAAAATCCATCTCCTTAATCCTTTTTTTATTCCAAGCAGTGGTGATTTTTCTCAACTGGCTCACTGAGAACCTTGATTTAGCTAATCTGTCTTGCTTAGTTATCTTTCTTCTCTAAAGCTTTCTAAAGAAGCATCTTTCCCCTTGACAACTGTCATCCTTTATGCTTGCATAGTGCAGCATCTGGTTATAAACATGCTCTCGTTAATCCTGATAGAAATTTAAAAAAAACAGGCTTTTAATTACTATCCACATGTTAGAAGAATAAAAGATGCAATAGGTAGCGAGCCAAAAGGAAAGGCACATGGATTGCTCAACAGCAGGAAGATGGCAAAAATCTGAGACCACACATCTTTGCCTTCTGTTGTGGCTTTGACTAGCATCTCTGCTCCTCTCAGTAAAGGGTGAGGAATCAAGTAGAAATATATATTTTTGTGGCTATATATATATATATTCATGTAGGAAGATTTCATGATTTGAATGGAAAGGCATCATCTTAGTGTTAGAAAAACATATTGACTTGGCATTGGGCACCATTGAGTGATATTTGGTGGTTCAGCATGAGAAAAGGATTGCTTACCCAAACTAAAGAGCACCAAGAATTTCAGACACACAAACTCTCGCTGATCAAACTGTAGGGAGCGAAGTTTTGCCACTAGCTCCTGTGCGTGACTCATGAGGTTGTTGAGGGTGGCCCCGGCTTGTGATGCAATTATAGAATAGTCCACCTGCAACACAGTTTTCATGAATGTTAGGATCAAAAATGCACATTTCACTTGAGATTGTTAAGCATCGTGGGTAAAATCAGACTGCAACACACACTTATACCAGAGAGGGCTTTCCCCTTGAAGGTAGCTTGAGACACGGCCTATTATCATAAAATGAATTGCAATTTATCTGTTACATCTAATCACGCTGATGAGCTTTGTAGGAAACAGGTTTTGATAGCCTGCATTTTACAAGTGTATATACCTTCTTTCTCTTATAAAGTTATATTGTCGCAGAAAATATTTTAACTCAAGTTGAAAGAAAAAAAAATATACTGTACATACAGCTTTCTATCTGTACACCATGACAATGACCAGTACATGAGGAAAATATAGGCTGACTCACATTCTCTCTGTATTTTAAGACCACATTTGAACATAATCCTAGTTCAAGATTGCTTGTGGATAACAAAATAATAATAATGATAGTAATGATAATAATAAAATCACATTTAAAGTATTCCAGCATGCTGCTTCCTTAAAAGCTATGACATAAACCTGCTAGTTTCAGGTGATCACATTAGATGCCGTCAAATGAATACATCTCTCTCTCTAAAGACAGCAGTGACCTTATTTGCAAGAATAATTCCCTCGTCTGGAAAACAAAATAGAAATAGCATATTCCCCATTTCGTTAAAAAGAAAAGCACGGCAAGGCACCGATCTTAGATTATTCATGGGGACATGCGAAGCTCCATTTATAATAAGTTAAGATGTTGGGCTGGCTGTCAGTGGAAGTACTGGCTGTGCTGCTTCGTTTACAGCATAATGGGAAAGCCCAGTTGGTACCTGCAGTTCCAGTCCTTGTTTTCCTGAAGAGCTCTCAGGCAACCAGATACTCTTTTAGGTGCATTTAATATTTGCAGCAGCAGCAAATTTGTCTGGGAGGCAAGTCCTCATCTGCCACTCACCCAGAGCAGACTGTATTAAATTTTTATATTTATTGACATTTCATTACCATAATTGACTGCACTTGCTTCTCTAGGAGAAGGCACGGGGCTGCCTCCTAAGCAGGAGAACTAGTCCCTTGAGTAGAATTTGCAATTAAAAACAAGGCAGAATGGATTTTTTTTTTATTGTGTAAATATGATGAGTTGAATTTTCAGGTTTAACTAGAGAATACTAGGTGTACAGAAACCTTTTTCAAGAGTGAGAAAAATTATGAGTCAGTGGAAAGATGACCCCCAAAGGTGTCAATCAGTTTATAGATAGTCAACTATGCATGAAAAAGCCACAGTTAAAGTGTGTTCTAGGAATCTCGTGCATCAACCACCAAACTGTCCTCCGTCTGTATCCATCCGTGGGCGAGCATCTGTCCTAAGAACTCCAAATGTGGGAAAGAAAAGTTCAGTACCAGGGCTGGAAGACAGGACAAGCTGTTTATATAGGATTGAGTATCCCTAGTCCAAAAATCTAAAGTCTGAAATGCTCCAAAATCTGAAATCCTTTGAATTCCAAGTGACACCATTAATGGAATGTGTACATGATGAGTTGCAGCCAAACCAAAAAGTCACTAAAAATACTGTATAAAATAACCTTCAGGCTATGTATGTATGAAACCAATGAATTTCCTGTTTAGACGGGGGTCCTAGCCCCAAGACATCTCATTAAGAATATGCAAATATACCAAAATCTTAAAAAAAAAACTGAAATCTAAATGATTCCTGTTTCCAAGCATTTCATATAAAGGATACTTAACCTATAATAGGACTTCCACAGAGACAACTGGGCTAGATGATTCAACAGCAGGCGGAAGGCCATGAGGTGAGAGGTAGAAGAAACCTGAGACAAGACGCTACCTGGGTCAATGCTGCCCTCTAAAAACAGAGGGCTTGGGCGAATCGGACAACATCTCCATCCCTTACTTTCCTCATCTTCAAATAAGGCTGATAAGAGAGATGATGATAAGGTGGCTCTCACTTTTATGATTAGTAAGAAATCATCATAGTTGGAATAATAGTACCAATTTAGGCTAAGAACTAACTGAATGCTCCGTGACAGTAGCAGAACACATACAATGTGCTGTGTGTGTGTGTGTGTGTGTGTGTGGTGTTGTTTTGTCAATGCTAGGGATTGAACCCAGGGTGTCCTACCACCACTCTACATCCTCAGCCCTTTTTGCTTTGAAGGTCTTGGTATGTTGCCCAGGCTGGCCTCCAATTTATGATCCTCCTCCCTCAGCCTCAAGCATAGCTGGGATTATGGCATGTGTCAATGTGCCTGGTCAAAGTATATTTTAATAGAAATCATTATTTAAGCCCTAAACCAGGAATACCATGTTAAATAAAGTACAAATATGTAATATGAATTAATTTATATTGAGATGTGATTAACATGCCAGTAATCCCAGTTACTTGGGAGGTTGAGGTGGGAGTATCAAAATTCAAGGCCAGCATGGGTAACAGGGTGGGACCCTATAGGGAAAAAAAAAAAAAAGATGGGTTGATGACATTTTTGATGCATGTACAGTTCCAGCAGAACTGTAATAATTAAATTCAAATACTAGAAATTCATACTTGAAAATATACTATAACTGAAAGGAATCTAAATTGTTTCTTGGGATTATATATTTAGTGAGAGACCTCTACTGAGAGGGACCTCAGGAAATCAATTGGCATACCAACAACTTTATTGCCCTACATTTATTTACATGCTAATTTGAAAGCTCAAACATGCTTATTAAATGAGGGCTCCAGTAACACTTCTTTCAAGGATAATTTATCAAATTGCACAGTTCTGAAGGAGGATGGTTGATTTATCCCCGAAACGGCACAGAGATCTGCAACTTCCTTATATTTTATTACAAACATAATTATATTTTCATTGTTGAATGCAGAGTTTGTGCTCATTTCACGAGCAGCTGGCCTTGTCTTTTATGTACTTAGTAAAATTAATTTATTGCTCTCTTACATGTAATCTTTGTGCCATTAAATTCAAGGGAGATATTGAAAAAATACTCTAAACCGATGCCCCTGTTGAGTAAAATTTCATTTATCATGAAGGTAGAAACAGTTTTAGCTAAATTGCTTTTAGTTCTAACCTCCAAAATTGTGATGACTTGTATGTTGTAAGATGCCTGTCATTTTAATATGATACACAACAATCAAAGATAGTAACAGTAGACATTTCCCTTAGGATGAGGTTACAGTGGCTGTTAATTAGTTACAATATGCAAATACTCAAATCTGACCCCATGTTGAACTATTCTATTTTATGTTACATATACACGATTACGTGTGTGTGTTTTAAAAATACTGAATAGGAAGGAATTCGTCTCATAAAATGCTAATGCTATGTATTGGTTGTTGATTTGACAGCGCCGATTATTACTAATGATCATTGCTTCCTTTTTGTCTAATAAAGTTAAATACATGCGTGATTAAAAATGCAATTAAAACATAGTAGCAAACTTTAAGGTTAAGTAAAAAACTTAGTGGGAAACACGGAATCCTCATTTCAGCGCCAGGGGTTGTGTCCTGGACCCTCTCTGAGGCGCTATTTCAGTTACTTCAGTTCTGAATACACACAGGAGACCTGGATTCTGCCAACAATCGACAAGAAAACTCACTAGTCACCACGCTTAGGAGGAAAGTTGTGCTCCTTTTTCTAATTTGCCTCTTTCTTCAAGTTCCAAGTAGCAGTTCTTCCTGAGAATCCCTCGATGCCCTCCTTCTGTCCTTCTGTCTTTCCTTCCCATCGGGGTTCTGGGGATTAAACTCAGGGCCTTACTCCTGCTAGCCAAGCCCTCTACCATGGAGGTACATCTCCATTCCCCTCCAGTCCTCTGCTGTGGTAAGTTCCCCACATTATTTTTTCAGTAGGGAAAAGCCAAAAGATTGGGCTGTGGAGCACCTGGGGACTTGCATCCCTCAGTCTGTCTAAGAGTGTTGCTCTAAAGCCATGTACAGACATCACATACAAGCTTCAAGGTGACATGAAATTGCTGTTTGGAATTTCCTTGTGGCAAGTCTTTTGGCTGTGATATCATGGACTGAGGCGTGTATAATATTACTATTCACTAGTCTTAAAACACTCAAAATAAACATTTTCAATTGTTCCAGAAGTAATCATTACAAGAAAACTGGGGAAAAAATTTTTTAAAAGAAAAAAAAGGAGAAAAATTCCATATGCAAACCTAAAAATTGATAATGAGTGATTTGGGTGTACTCTCTCCTGGGTGAGGCTGGAAAAGGTTGTATGAGTTTAGTTAAAGTTTTATCCAGCAATTCGTTGTCTCTCCTTTATTTGTGGGGACAGTATAATCTCACAGCCTGGTGTTAGGGGCAAGGCGCTTCCTTATAGAAGCTGAATCATCTGGATAACTTTGAATGGCTGGCTGGTCCCTGCGTACTTCCTCCTCTGAACTTCAATGCACCTTATCTGAGTCCATGTCATGGGGCTTACCTGTGAAAGTGCACAGTGCCAGGCCCCAGGCAAAGGGCAGTCCCTGCAGTCATTAATTAGATAGAGGGATCACATTTCTTATCACTTTTGACTCTAGGGCTGTGTTGAATTTTTCTCCACTCACACCTTTTGACTTCCCTTTGTCTATCAGACTACTAGAAATATTTTTAATAAAAAAATTCCTTCCTCACCTGTTCCATGGGTGTTAGCTAAGTTGCTGGTAGGGGAATTTTGCATGCTTTATGGGCATAAGGCCATTCTGTGCACCCCCAACCCCCACAGTGATATCAGTGTCATGGCCTTGATGCAATACATCATGGGCACAGACTTCTACATTGTTTTAAAGTTCACACTCCACACAAATCCATGCTACTAGGTCAATGTGTCTCCATGGTGGATTATTTTAATTCATTTTAGAAAGTAAGGAAAGCTCTTATTACACACACACACACACACACACACACACACACACAAAGTTTCCTAACACTGAATGAGAATTCTAACAAAAATGATGATTTTAGGGCAGTGGCATTAGGAATAATATTTTTGCCTGGCATAGTGGCACACACCTATAATCCCAGCAGTTTGGGAGGCTGAGGCAGGAGGATACAGTATTCAAAGTCAGCCTCTAACACTTAGTGAGGCCCTATGCAACTCAGCCAGAGCCTGTCTCTAAATAAAACACAAAAAAATAGGGCTAGCATGTGGCTCAGTGGTCAAGTGTCCCTGGGTTCAATCCCCAGTACCAAAAAAAGAAAAAAATATATTTTTCTTAATGCTGAAATAATTTTATAATAGTAAGTAGTAATCACATTAAAGTTACTTCTGGATAATTTAAATTTACTATATTACAATGTATTTGCAGCACCACCCTCCAAAACAAAGAACACAAATGTTTATGTATTTAGCTTCTATAAAAGGGAGATGAATTTGTTTTGCTTGGAAGTGCCACTGATGACTCTCAGTGTATAAAGGCTGCTATGCATTAAAGTTATTCACAAAGACCAAATTAAAGGCCTGTGGTAAAAGCAAGCTCTGTAGCATCTGGGAATGACCCAAAGAAGTGGGATGGGGGCTGGGGTTGTGGCTCAGTGGTAGAGCACTTGCCTAGCATGTGTGAGGTGCTGGGTTTGATTCTTAGCATCACATATAAATAAGTGAATAAAATAAAGGTCCATCAACAATGAATTGAAAAAAAAAATATATATATATATATAATGATGTGTTGGTTAGGAATACAAATTCTAAGCCAGGCACAGTGATGTGCATCTGTAGTCACAGCTACTGGGGAGACTGAGGCAGGAGGATGACTTGATCTGGGGAGTTTGGGGACATCTAAGGCAACATGGTGAAATTGCCACCTCAAAAACAATAACAACCCCAAACCATACAAAAACTATGGTACTAGCCTGCCTGGATCTGAATCTCTATTCTCCCTCTTATGATTTGTGTTTTGACCTTGAATCAACTACTCCACCTCCCTTGGCCTCAGTTCTTTATCTGCAAAAAAGGGGATGATAATATTTTATTCTTACAATTGTTGTGTTCATAAATGTCAGCCTCGTGTCTGCCTAGTGTTTTAGTTTTCTTTTTGGGGGGAGGCTTGTGGAGGGAGGATCAAACTCAGGGGCCCCTGCATGCTGGGTGGGGGCTCTACTGCTGAGCCCCACCCCCAACCCTTACACTAGTTTTGATTAAAGTTTTTACGTCAGCACTTTACAAAACTATTTCCGGTGATTCCTAGTGCAGTTCTCTCATGGAGATACCATTATAATCCTGACTGGACAAGAGACAACAATGAAGCTTGAATAAGTAAAGGCATTTGCTCAATAGGACAGAGCTAGTAAGTTCTGGACAGGAGTTCTGCCTTCATCCCAGGCTGCATATGGGTATTCTGCACACATGTGTGCATGCAAATGCATGCACACATTTAAAAAAATATTTATGTTTTAGTTACAGGTGGATACAATATCTTTATTTTGTTTTTATGTAGTGCTGAGGAATGAACCCAGTGAATCACGCATGCTAGGTGAGCACTCTACCACTGAGCCACAATCCCAGCCCCGCCCCCCACACTTTTTTAATACCCAAAAAGCACTCTGCAATAAATATACACTATAGTTCACATGTGATTAGACTACAAACTCAATGGTGTATGTGGTTCTCTATTTCCTTCCTTCAGTTTCTTCCATGTTTTTTGAAATACTTTTTTTCTCCAGAATATCACTTTACTCTGACACTTATTATGTACTCCTTTCCTTCCTTCCATCATTGTATAAACCATCTTCTTAAAATTGGTGCACATAAGATATTTTATTATTACAGTTATTGGTGCTATTCTAACAAAAATCTAGCTTCCCTGCTCTTGCCATTAGGAAATATATACCATTTTAAGAAAATTAAACTTGGAATTTCACCTATCTCTCTGGGCCAAAGGGTAGGAAGCGGTCTATCATAGTGAAAAGGAGATTTATTGTTGGGAAAGAATTGTTGGTGTCTCTGATCCATGAGAACTAGTTGGAAGACAGGGGACAAGAGAAATGTAGAAAATGGGGAGGGTGAATACTCTGGGTCTTGAGTCCTACTTAATTTGTTTTATTTAAGCATTCAGGTTAGAGATAGGATAGTCCTCATTTAGTGAAATTAGTTAATATTTATCACATACTTACCATATTTGATATTATAGGAGGAACTATAGGGATATAAAATAAATATGCGTTTGTCACTCTGAATTCAAATATCTTTCTCGGGACTGAAGATGTAGCTTAGTGGTAGTTTAAGTTTATCATGCACGAGGCCCTGGGTTCCATACTTAGCACCAAAAAAAGGGGGAAAAAATTGAGGCATTCTTCTCATTCTGTTAAATGAGGTATGTGCTCTAGAAAAGTCTTTCTTGATAGCACTGTGGTTTTCTACTCTATCACTGCAGGAATCCCAGACACGTTCTAACTGCCTTTTCCAGTCTATTCCATGACAGAAGAGAAGATTTTTTTTTCCCATAACCATCAAAACGAGACTGTGTGATTATAATGAAACAGCATTAGGCTATTCACTTAGACTGGAGGAAAAAGCACAGGGAAGAACGTTGATAGACTCTGACATGTTTCAAACAGGGCAGCAGAAAAATGTGGGCTGCAGGGAAAGGTGCTAGGGAGACTGTTTTTTAGCCAGGGAGTCCCTTCCTCCAGATCTATTGCCAAATACAAGGCAGAAATAACAGACTATAGACTCTGATTTTATTTATCCCTTGATTTTTCTGGGTGTTGAAAATCAGAAAGGCAAGACATGTACTTTCTCTACTTTTTAAATGGTAATTACCTTTACCAGGGGCAGCACTTAAGGCAGAATGAAATGTGAAATAAGGAATATTTCTAAAGAGCAGGGATGAAACCCATTTCATTTCTTGAAACTCTGAAGGAAATGAAATCGAATTACATTTTGTGAGCCGAGTCTTGTCCTTCTAATGCAGCTCCCAGTTGGTCAGGAGGTGGGAGGCACACCTTGTGTTTAGACTCTGAAAATGGGTACATTTCCTTCAAAGACTTGGATCATGAGACACAAGTGCTAAACAAAAACATTCAAAAGCACAGGGAGTCAGAGAATTTTCTTCTCTGGAAAGCTTTTCTCTTGGGAGGCACAGAAAGTGGGGACCCAATAGCTAGGGAGATGGTTGAATTGATCCAATTGGCAAAAACCGAAGTAGTGCATGCCTTTAATTTGATTGGGAACATGTGATTTATTAATAATACAGCAAATGGTGTGGAGACAGCCTTTCATTTTCAAATATGCACTGCTGTGGTTTCACAGCACATAAACATTTATGGGGATGTAAAAGATCACGGTGCCTGAGTATTGAAGTCACCATGGCTGAAAGGTGCGCTGCTGTCCTGCCTAGGTATACCCACGGGCTGGAGGAACCAGGGTTCCGTGGACTTATTTTATTGATCCATCAGTTTCTAAGTGGAAGGTAAGAGACTGGAGGGACTTGCCCATATCTTTATCAAGTTGGAATTAGGTCCACTAAGGCAGTTCCTCTTTCCCCAGATATCTACAAGCCCCTCTCTCTTCCTTTAAGTGTTCCCTCAAATGTCACCTTCTCAATAAGGTTGAAACAATCGTTCTGTTTAACATCACAACCCATGGCATGGATGCTTGTTCATTCCACCTTACCTACTGGTTTCTTCTTCTTCTTTTTTTTTGGGGGGGGGAGGGTAGGAGGTCTTTACTTTGATAATACTTTCAACTCTAACATTCCCGATTTATCATGATTATTTATTGTTAATTATTAGCTTCTCCCTGCTATAGCATAAAATTCCACAAGGACAGGAAACAGGTCAAAGCCTCAAAATAGTGACTAGCACCAAGTAGGATGCTCAATAAATATTCTTTCTTTTTATTTTATTTGCAATACTGGGGATGGAACCTGGGCCTTGTGCATACTAGGCAAGTGCTCTTCCATTGAGTGACACGGAACAGCCCTTATTTACCTACTTATTTATTCATTTAATTTTGAGACAGGGTCTCAAAAATTGCCCAGACTGGCCTAGACCCTGATATTATCCTGCCTCAGCCTCCTGAGTAGCTGGGATTACAGGAGTGTGTCATTGCAAAGGGCTCAATATTTCCTTCTTACTTGAAAAAATAGCTATTCAGAATAGGGGTAAAAGCCTGATGGTTATGTTTTCCTTTCTATTGTTCTTGGACATCTGGCTCCTGAAAACTGGAACTCCTGTCCCTTTTCCATACTGGCCTTTATGTCGAATATTTCAACTACATATGACATTCGAATCAACCTGTTCCAACAAAGGTAAGGATTCTACAATTTATAAGGTTTTTAAATAACACACAAGTATAGTAGGCTAATGTAGAAGCTCGAGGAAAAAACAAAACAAAACAAAAAACAGTACTAATCACCAAGTTTGATTGAGCAATTGTTCTGACCCTTAGAAGCAGAACTTTCCATCCCTGCAGACTAGAAGCAGCAGAATGCTTATGATTATGTTTGCTTTTACAAGTTTATCTGTAATCATCAGAGCAGGAACTGAGTGCACCAAGTCATCTTTTCTAAATTATTGGCAGCCAATCTCTCCCTTTCAAAGCACAAGAGTGCTTCTGATCTAGTTAAATTCCTGCCATGCTGAACATGCTTAATAAAAAGATGCGCTTTATTTTTATTTTTTTGGTCTCTACACTCACTTGTTGCCCAGTAACCAGGAAAATGGATCCTTCCTTTCCATGTACCACTTGTCGGTAAATGTGGTCGAGGATTAAGAGCTCACTCCAGCAATTTTGAAGCAGCTTCATTTGGTCATCAACCTGTAATAGAAAAAAGGGGGGAGGGCAGTTATTTACTACCTTTGTGTTTTTGCATAAATTTTTCACGTAAGAGAACAACAATAAGCAAAGAAATCTCCACCAGTATTCACTAAGGTACTGATGCTCAGAATTTACATCACTTCTCCTGAAAATGCTTATTTTTGTTTAGACAAATACTTGATGGGAAACAAATACTTATGCCAAGTACTTGTGATCAATGAGGTACTCCATTAGGTTGGTCCATCTAGCATGAATAGAGCTAGTGGTTGTGAGAGGCACGGTTGCCTGGGACTGTCCTCATACACCCCATGAGATGACCCCAAATAGCCAGATCTAAAGGTTGACACATTAAACTGAGCTGGAAATCATATATAAACATTAGCAAGCTGCCAAAATGAGAGGATTTATAGAAACAAAAATCAGGATGACAGTCCACGGGACTCTCGCAGATAGGAGCACACTGCCACTATTTTTCACGGGTTTTCACCGACAGTCCTAATTGTGCTAGACCCTGGACAGAACCATCACACGCCTATTCTTGGTGTTAACCTGCATCTGCTGTTATGATTTAGATGATTTCCCCACCAACTCTCTAAATTTGTTTCCTTATCCAAAAAAACAGGTCAAGAACTACTTTCTCCTTTATCTGGATCACCATGAAGATCAAAAATGCTGGCTTATAATGGGCATTTTACTCTTGTCTTGCCCTCCAGGGAACTGTAGTCTTCAGTCACAAATACACATCTGTCTCATGTAGAGTCCACATATATGTCTCAATACGGGGAGCAAACGGATCCATTTCCATGGCTATTTGTAACAGTTCACTCTTCCTGTTGTAATATATACCAATCAAAAACCTTGCTGTACACCCAAATCCAGTGCCCATGTTTGGATATTGATTGACCTAGCATTTATAAAACCCAGGCATGGTGGTTCATTTCTGTAATCCCAGCAACTTCATAGCTGAGGGAGGAGGATCACAAGTTAAAGGCCAACCTCAAAAATTAAATGAGGCCCTACGCTATTTAAAGAGACCCTGCCTCAAATTAAAAAAAGTAAAAAGGGGCTGGGGATGTAGATCAGTTGTGAAGTGTCTCTGGGTTCAATCTCCAGAACCAAAAAGTAAAATCAAAGAAAAAACACCAAAGCCTGACATTTACATGTTGTATAATTTTTTAAAGAGTTTTTCTGCATTATCCAGTTAGAACTGGTATCATTATATTCAATATTCAGGTGGGAAAATGGGGTCGAAGAAAGACAAAGGGGCGTGCCTGAAGAATTTTCTTTCTCCTGCTCAAATTATACGCCGTCTCCAAATCACATCAAGAGGTCCTAGAATTTTCGAAGTCAAATTAATATAATTCACTTTAACAAATTCATTTTAAGTTGTCATCCAATGGGACTCCAGAGAGTTGCCACTGATACATTAGCAGTGGTCAGACCTTGTGGTGAACTATGCTTCCATTGGACCAGGACACAGTGAACATATTCAGGAGAACACCGAGGCTTTGAGGAGAAACAAGGATTTGAGGCCACAGCTCTACAGGTTCCAGCTATGAGGGCTTGGCCAAACCATATAATTCTCAAGCCTTATTTTCTTGGTTAAAAATGTATAAAGTGGGTCTTGTTATGACGAGAAGATGAGATAATAAACAGAGAGCCCTTGGTGAAAATCTACAGTGATACACAAATGAAGAACCAACAAACAACGGCTCCCAGCTGACAGACCACATAGTTCCAAATCGAAAGAAAAAAAGGTAATTGCATGTATTGCAGCTATCATGCAGCTCTGTGATACACAAAATGCATCCACCCCTGTGGATGATGATGATGATGATGATGATGATGATGATGATGATTTGAGAGCCACTTAGGGTGAATCTAAGTGCCAGGCCCTGGATAAAACAGTGAACAAGGTAAATACAGTCCCTGCCTTTATGTGATTCTTCCTGTGGGGGAGGATGGCACCCAAACCCTGGTGAGCAGTTTAGCTGACCGTGGGAGTTCCTGTCCTTCTTAAGAGGAACATCTCCGGAGCACTGTGGATTGTTCCAGGTCAGGCTCTGAGCAGCAGCTTATGTGGATCTACCTAACTGTTCTCTGCCAACAGGTGACCCCAGCAGGACACTAAGCCATGGCCTGGTGTCCCAGCAACACGCATGTCATCACACCCAGAGCAGATTCCTGGAATTGTCTCTCAGATGCTAAAGGGTGGGTTCAAAAACGAAGTGCACTTGGCTTCCGAGTTTTATTATCTTCTCATCACTATCAGTCTCTTATTTGAAAGTTATCAGTCTATTATGGCAATTTGGTTGCATTCATTTTTTTTCTTCTTGTGATATAAAGCTTAGGTTATTTCTTTAGTGCTCTTTTCAGGGAAGCACAAAATACTGTACTTTGAGATTATCTCTCCAGAAACAATAACCACACGTTAATGCTGCACAGAATTTCCAGATGGGTGGAGAATATAGACTCCAATGTCCATTTATGGATGCATAAAGGAGATTCCAGTTAAGGACAGAAAGAAAATTTATTATCCCTGTGCTGTAGATAGAAAAACGAAAGAGATAGGAGACTCTGGGGGCCATGAAGAAAAGAAGAAAAGTTTAGTGAACATTGAGAAGCCTGTTTTTTGGAGGCCTCTCCTCATTTACGTCCCCAACCCCATTCCCTATCTTGCATACATAATGTGACAGAAATAGTACTGGTACCAAAGTGCCACAACTAATGTAAAAAAATTACAAGAACTTAGCTTCCCAGCCTTTTAGAATGTTGAGGATACACTGCCAATCTGCCTGTTTCCCAGTTGTTCTGCTCTTTGGAAATTGCCAGAACAGAGGAAATGGACTCCATCTCCTTCCTATAATTAGCACTTCACTTTTTTGTCTTATATGCTGTGCTGTTCATGTCCTTATTTCTCCCTGTGTTTCCAAGAGAGGGCTTCCTATGATTTCTCTGTTTTCACAAAGTACTGCAATTGGTTATCTGTCTGCCTTCCCTTGAAGCTGCAGATCAAAAAGTGCCTTCCTTAGTGCTTGGCAAGAGAAGAGGCACTTAATACATGCTTGTTAAATGAAGGGAAAAAAATGACTGGATCATTTCCACCTTTTCCCTGTATATCCAAGCCCACCATATAAGCAAGCGCCTCCCTTGGTGTTTGTGGCATGATAATGCGTGCATGGCTGTGAACACACCAGCAACTTAACTTTGACCCTTCGCACACGTGCCCTGCAGATTCACACCCACGGCTGGCCCTTGGTAAAGACTTCTTGACTGATTGTAATTTCAACACCCCTCTTGAGCAATTGATTCCTTGTTTGAGCACTCTCTGAGGAGGTTTTCCACGCCAACATTCCATTTCATTATTTTCCATAATTGATTATGTGATATTTTATGTTATCTTGAAATTGGTGAGTGTGCAGCTTTGCAGGGCTTTTGTATGACATGGTTTTTATGCAGTGCTATGAATAAAAGGACAGGTAAGTATGATGGCTGGCTTGCTCCCTCTCCCTGCATAAGAAGTGATGGCAATTTTGAAGATATTTTTTCTTTAGAAAACATATTTTAAATGATTGAAGCCAAGAGGAAGAGGGGGAAAAATAATCCACTCCTTCTAAGTCAATTCTCTGGATGCTAATACTGGTAATGAGCAATTTGGAGTTGCATTTGGGGAACCCAGGAGGGGGACCAACTGGATACAAATGCCCTTATATATCAAAACCTCTCACTAATAGTTAGCAATACTACCTCACATAATCCTGGGTTATCAGCTGCAATAAAAGGAAGGACTTATCTCAGAAACATAGTTATTTATCAGAGAAACTATTTATATTGGTATTATAGACCAGAGCATAAGGAATACAAGTCTCATATTGTTATCAGGCACAACTTCCCACAACCCAGAACGTTAATCATTAGAAATGTGTGCTTTCTCATACCAAGAGTGGATTTAGCAAACAATTATGAGAAGAAAAATGTGTGGATCTTTCTCAGTCTCACATTCAACTTATCAAAACCTCTCTGTTTTCCCCTCCCTTTACCTTTGAACAGTCCAGAGACTCAGCTATTTCACTTTCCCTCTTGCAGGGGTTTTTGAAAACTGACATCATGAATCATTGTAATTAAGCTTTAAGAAAAATATTATTAGAAAACATTCTGCTGAAATGGTCTGATAGTTAAAGTGGTCATAAACCCATTTCATATTTCTGACTATTCAACTTGGTGTTAAAAAAAAAAGTGAGGGAAACAGGTGACTAAAATATGATCTCTACCTTTGAGAGGTGACAGGTGTGAGTACCTTTTTATAACCCCTTGTGCACAAGAAACTCATGAGCATTTTACCTGAGTCTCTTTCTTGGGGAGACTTCAGGGGAGAGTCAGAGGAGGGTGTGATAGGCCTTTGCCTTGCAGAATTACTTATCAAACATTTTCCCTCCTCAATGGTTCCTATTAGAATAGCTCTTGGATCAAAATCAAACAAAAACACAAATAAAAAATGATTGGAAGATTCTTCAGAATCACTACAAATGAAATCCAGGTATTCAATTTATTTCTCTTTCTGGCAAGAAGAAGGGGAAAAAAAATCCCAGAGGTAGATCACCATTTCTTTTTGTGATAATGATTACATTGGTAGTGGTATATTCAGAAACAGAGAAGAGAGGGAAAAAAAACCAAAAACCCAAACAAATCCAAATCAATTTAACAAAACTCAATGACATCTGGATGCAGTGGTGCATGCCTGTAATCTCAGCAACGTAGCAGGCTAAGGCAAGAGGATCACAAGCTTCAGCAACTTAGTGAGACCCTGTCTCAAAATAAAAAAGGGGTTGGGGTGTAGCTCCGTGGTAAAGCACCGGTGGATTCAACCCCAAGCACTGCAGGAAAACAACTCAATGCTCCATGAGAGGCCAGTCTGAGCAAGACAGACACACTACTACTTCACTCCTTTACTGTTTTTATGAAGAACACTGATGATTATCTGAAACCTCTATAATAAACTG